TCTCTCTCTCTCTCTCTCTCTCTCTCTCTCTCTCTCTCTCTCTCTCTCCCTCTCTCTCTCTCTCTCTATCTATCTATCTATCTATCTATCTATCTATCTATCTATCTATCTATCTATCTCACTCTCACTTGCTCGCCCACGCACGCGCCTGCGACAACTCCCTCCACGCGCGATCTTTCCCCTCCCGCGACAGCTTCTCCCCCGCGACAGTTCTTCCCCGCGCGGCTTCCCTCACAGCAGCTCCTCCTGCGCGTGGCACCTCTACTTCATGTAGCTTCGCTACTTTGTGCGGCTCCCCCTCTGCGCCGCAGCTCTCTCCTTCTCGCACAGCTTCTCCCTCCCGTTCTCGTGACTTCGTTCCTGATTCTGAACCCAATCCGGATTCTGGTCCCGTTCCTGAACCCGCGTGAGATCCCGTTCCTGATCCCGACTTCGATCTTGATCCCGTTCCGTGTGTGATCCTATTCCAGACCCGAGCTGCGATCTTAATCCGATCCCGCGCGGTAACGTGCAACGATGATGATGACAATGATGACGATGATGATGATGATGATGATGATGATGATGATGATGATAATGATGATGACGATGATGATCTATTGACGATGATGATAATCCCTGAGATTCTCCTCTTGATCAACGCTCGAGTGCGTGCACTCCCTCCTCAATGTTAACGACGATGATGATCCCCATGCATCCTAGCGGTCGCACAAGTTTCATCCTACTTGTGCGCAAGGTCCATTGGGTTCGTGAGCTAGTGCCCTCACTAGATCTGTGCACCAATGCCCGCCCCCAATCTGCACGCGAGTGTGCGCGCCTGATCCAAACGGTCAGCGACACAGCGCGTGCGATGTCCACCAGGTCCGTCCTTTGCGCGGGTGTAGCGTCTGACCATGTCCTCTCCCCCCGTGCGTGATGTACCCGTTTGTCGGTACATACCTTTCCGAAGTCCCCTCACTCCCCGATCTTCCCCTGCGCCCAGGCCAAACCCGCTCCTGTGTGAGTGAGCTACCCCTCCGCAGGCTAGCCCGTCCGCCCGTTCCCACCAGGTGCTTCTGAGCCGGCACCCTTCGCGTGCCAGCCCGTGCACCCCTTCCGAGCGCATCTCCGAATCCCCCCGTCTTGAGCCCAATTGGGCTTTTTAAACTTTGTCGTCCCCGTGCTCACGTGGGATCTAGCCCTCTCGCCTCCCGAAGTGTCGGCCACTGTCGAGGAAATTGCAGCGCCCTGGTACCGAGACTCTTCCCGAACCTAGGCCCGAGCCTATTTGGGCCCCTGAAAGGTTTTCTCGCGTAGAGGGTCTTTTTGTCGGGTACCAAGCCTCTTTCCGTACCTGAGCCCGAGCCTGTTCAGGCCCTAGTGGTCCCCACGTGGAGAGCACCAAGACCTCACCAATTTCCACGGGCCCGGCCTTGGAAATGAACTCGCGGCCTGAGGGCCCTTTTCCCATCTACCCTGGTTCCCGTCGTTGGTCTCGTCGTCTATTCCACCCGTACCGACGGAACGCTTGGCACGAGCCCGTAAGATGCCGCCCTCCGGTAGCCATATTCCAACGGTCGGAGCGATTTCAGCCGCCTGATCGGCACATCGCTGTCTCGCATTAAAATTCCCTGTTTTCAATTAAATTAATAATCCATCCGACCTCCGTCGATTCCAGGAAAAACCCACCCTCATCGGTCCGCATTCCACCACGCTCTAGTCTGGGCCTGGTTTTCCCATGCCATCCAACCGCCATTCGTCAGTCGTCTTTGTGGGCTCGGGTTGCAAGACAAAAACACACCCGAAAAGACCGCCGCGCGAAATCCGACCTTCGACGGTAGTCTTTTTGAAGGAAGTAAAGGGCGGTGTAAGGCTTGGGCCGCCCGACAGCAGCCCCCCCCCCCCATTCTCGACGTCCCCGGCGAGCCACCGAATTCGAAATGGTCTGATTAATATCGAGGAGGAAGAAATTAGTCGGCCGTCACCTAATCCATACCCGATCAACCCCAAAAATGCATTCCTCTCATGATATTATTTCTTTCTTGTCCTTTTTCTACCTCTCTTCCCACCTTCGTTTCTTTTTGCTTTCCGCTTTTTATCCCTGGCTTGTTATCTCAGCCACTCCCGCGTTGTCAGGCTCCAACGAATTTTGGTTTTGTCTCGCCACTTGTGGAAGTAGGGTCTACCCCCGCTTCTACGCTTACTAGTCCACTTTATCAGTCTAATAAATGGTAGACCGCCTCCCCCTTTCAATGTCAGGTTTTTTAACCTTTTAGGTCCACCACCCTCGTTCTCGAGCGCCTTCGTCCTCCTCCCATCTCGTCTCCATCCACTCAATGAGGGTATCAAGGGGGTATAGAAAGGCTTCGTAGAAAAAGCCCCGCACGACAGGCTTAGACGGATTTATATCCCCCCCAAGGAGTATAGTCCCCCCTTTATACCACCACTGAGGCCGAACACAAAAGGGCAACTAGCTATGAAGACGTCGTAAACTGATTGGTTGAAGCTAGAGCAGCTGCACCAGCCACAGTATGCACGAGCACACGCAGAGACAAGGGTCAGCAGCAAGAGGGAAAAAAGACCCAAGTCTATATTCCAATCTCGCGTCTCAACCACAATTCCCGAACCTGCTACCCAATTTCCGGTCCTGACCAAGTCTTTGTCCTCGAATGTCCTCACATCCACAGCGGGTTTCTCCACTTCCAATTTCTCCTCAAGTTCTAACATTCTCATAATTCTCATCGACATGTTTTCTGGACTGTCGGCATCCGCAATACATTTCACTTCCATCATGGTCCTTTCTTCACCTTCTTGGTCGAACGCGAGTGGGTTGTCACTCTCTTGACTCCCCAAGCAGTCCTCAACGAATTCACCCCCAATACTCATCACATCGCGCTTACTTATTAACTTGCATTGATCCATTCTGGAGCCCTCGATATATCTTTCGTAGTTGCCTGATTACGAGTCATTCTTGTCTCGAGAGAGTTCTCAACGTTGTTTTCATACGTATCAACGGTCTCAAACAGTTGGGCAAGCCCATAGTCGATATCCGGTTCGGAGGCCTCAAAGAGTTGAGCTAAGTCATAATCATCATCATGTTCGATGGTCCCAAACAGTTGTGCCAGCTCATAGATGACGTCCGACTCGATGGTTTCAGAAAGTTGAGCCAACTCATAGCTGATATCCGGTTCTACAGACTTAAACGCTGGGGCAAGCTCATAGCTTGTGTCAAAATCCCCGACCCCCTTGCTATGAGTATCGCCAGTCTTTTTCAAGCCTATGCATTCTTCAATCATTGGTATCACTTCCAGTGTTGTGGTTCGATCTACTCATGTTTCCCCCATGCATCCTAGCGGTCGCACGAGTTTCATCCTACTTGTGTGCAAGGTCCATTGGGTTCGTGCGCTAGTGCGCTCACTAGATTTGCGCACCAGTGCCCGCCCCTAATCTGCACGCGAGTGTGCGCGCCTGATCCAAACGGTCAATGCCACAGCGCTTTGCACTATGACACATCATGCTTTCGCATTCGACGAGGAACTCCAACAACACTTCATCCAGGGCTATGAGTCTGATCCAGATTTCGCCACGTTGTATGCGCAGCTCTCTTCGGATCACCCGCTGTCGAGCGCATCGGTCCGGCACCGCATAGGGGCAGCGCGGGACCCTCCCGGCCGCGTCACGCAGGAGTTGGTCTAATTCCCTCGTCGCAAATATATACATGGAGCTTCCGCAAGCCGCTCCGACCGAGTGCTCCAACCATACCTTTCGCGAGCCCCTACGACAGGATAGGGCCTACGCGAGGCACGACTTACCTCCACCTTACGGGAGTTGTCACGTCCCTTCGGTGGGCGTATCCCCGCCGAACTACCAGTCCACAGTACGAAAGCTAATCAGTTGCAATCGCAGAGGTGGACCAGCCGAGGGCATTTCGCGTTCGCTGTAGCATAGGGGGTACGCGCGGTAATACGCCTCTATCGGACCCGCACGCGGACCGACATCTTGGGGGGCTGAGGTCCCAAGCGCGGCTCATCGTCGGTCCACTAGGACGCATCCCACACACCACGCACACACCACTTTACGAACACAAAAATAAAACACACACACACGCACCAAACAACGCGACAACACTCCTAGTCCCTTCTGTAGCCATCCCATAATTTTTTGATGCGGAAATCAGATGGGCATTGCACGCGAGACTTTGTATAAAAACCGCGCAGGCAGTCGCGATGATGGTGTACTATGTAGTACCCATAATCCAACGGTCCTCGTTAATCTCGAGGGTCGCATTCGACACTCAAGTGTCGCCTAACAAGCGCTTTGAGGGTTAATCTCTCGACGCTTGACAGCCGTTATGCGAGGTTGAAGACCACTCACCCTCTTCTGCACTCTGTGCAGAGTGGGTGGTACACAAGCCCATGCCTTCAGGCCCATGCCTGTGGTGGCAGTCGTTTCTTACTGCCCTGGAGATGAGCCCCTCTCCAGGCCTGGGAGAGGTCAAGGGATTTGACTTTGACGGCTGCCACAGACTACAACGTCCAACTATAAATCTTAAAAAGCAAAAATAGACCGAAGGTTCCCTTTATTCCAAAAGAAAACAAAACCTTGGGGTACCGTCCCTTTTCGGGTGGTGCCAGCGGCCTGTAGTAATCCCAAGCGTTCACGCGTATGTGCGGGCCCCTTTGATCCAATAACTTTTAGACGCTAGGGCGGGGAAACGTCGCGCGCGGGATTCTAATATAAAGTCGCGCAGCTGCAAGCCAGTCTCATACCAACCAACAATGTCAGTCATACGTGGTAATCGCGGCTCCGGCCTCGCGATATTGAATGGCTAAAGGAAAATATCGCGAGGGGTTACCCCACACGATATTGAACGGCTGAAGGACATGCCATTCAGCCCTCGCGACATTTTCGCCTTCAGGGTGGGGTGCCTCGATGGGCAATGCAAATAGGCTCTGCGCGAGGGGTGATCCCTCCCCTGCAGAGCCTAGGGCTTGGGATGTCCTGGACAAGGACCTTGAATCCCGGCCCAGGACCAACGTTCGACTAAGAAACCCCCCCAAAGAAGCAAAACAAATAAAAGGAAGGACCTTCCCTATGCCTCTCAGTCTTAACCTCTGAGTAGGCTTTTATTACGGGGTCCCTTACCCCATGCAAACATTCATCCCGGGCACACCCATGTATACATATATAAAGGGGAAAGTATGTGACGATCACTTCTCACAGTCTAAGTGGGGTTCCTCACAACCATATGTATATATGAGATCGCAGGCAGTCAATCCAGGATCTAAGCCACAACACATACCTGCAATCACATCAAAGAGTCAAACAACAGTCCACGCACTACACGGAGTCAACCCCAACCAATCTCTGCACTCATACTCCTCGCCTTAGCCATGCAAGCCCCAACCTCCTGTCGAACCAACCTTAATTAAATACTCAGTACCTTTGTTAAATGACCATTCAATAAAAGTCCGGGTGAAACCTTAATGAAACAATGAAATCACCAGGGCTAAAGCCTTTTAGGTTGGGTGTGGAGGGTGAGTTGGAATTGAGTCGTAGACCGACGAATCAGCAACCGACCTGTTATCAAGGGATAAAGCTGAATCTAGTCCGGATCTTGAATCAAACGATCAAGAGGGTCTGTAACACATGACAGGTCAATGCCCCAGGCTGAACCTATAAGCTCATGGAGAACAATCTCCATATCGTGATCTTACCCAAATCATCATAGTTAACTATATATAAGCCTACCTCTAAGCAACATGGCAAAATCTCCCCCATTCACAGTTGATTACCAGAATCGTCACCTGTCAAAATACAATCTATATAAGTCCAAATATGAAGGTAGGAATAATCTTTAACTCTGGAAAGTCAAATTCTGTCTAACTCCCTCAATTAGTAGAAATTTGGGCAGCACCCCCTTTAGAAAGGGAGACCTCCCAAATTTTCACTAAGTCAGATATGAACTCAAAAAAGACAACTCGAGTTCAACTTAGACAAGATTCAACTAACTCCTTAGTTTGGCAAAAATTTTGGCAGCACTCCTTTTAGAAAAGTGTTATTCCAAAATTTGTACAAGGCTAAATCCAAAATTTGAAAGTAACTTTGACTTTTCAAAGTCTATTTTTGTCTAACTTCCTAAATTGGCAAAAATTTGGGCAACACTCCCTTTAGAAAAGGAGACTTCCCAGATTTTTACTAGGTCAGATATAAGAAAAGACAAGTTGAACTTTTGACAAGTCAAAATTTGACTAACTCCTTGGATTTGTAGAAATTTCGGCAGCGCTTCCCGTAGAGAAAGTAGCTCGCCAAGATTTATATAAAGCCAAGTATAAGAAAGGATCCCAGAAAATGCAAGAATTGACCTAAGGAAAAAAAGTTACTATAGAAAATGCAGGAATTGAATATAACTCCTATCGCTCTAGCACGTGGTGAGCAACTAAAGCAACTACCTATCAACTGAACTTAGACAAAGTAGGGATCTCACTCAGCCACATACAGGCCAAACCACAGAGGTAAGTACTCTCACCAACCCAAGTTCATCTGGGCAAAACAATAGTTCATGATCTTTCAGTAATTTAACCCTTTATACCCAACTTACATAAGGCATAAAGTCACGCCACCCAAACTTATGGAATGTGCCTAACTTAGCCAAAGAGTATACATAAAACAGAGGGCACAACTACTCTTCTCTTCTTTGGGCACATGACTAGACCATTCTAACCACCCCCCGAAATTTTTTAAGTTATCCAAGTTATATATATCTGTCTTCCCTTTGTCTTCTAAGGCTGCATATGGCTGAGCTAACTTAAGCTCAGTCTGCCCCAACTTACCATCAATCTTATTCTTAATTATACTCTCTTCAAGTTGTGATAGGCTATAGTCAGACCACCTAAACTTATAGAACAGTCTTATTAGCTCGTTCTTAGATAAAATAATAATAAAATATAGCCAAGTTGTAACCTTTGGGTTCCAGCATGTGCGAGGCTTTGAGTCAGACCACCTGAACTTACAGAACAGTCTGGCTCTCTGCCTGATTAATTTCTTTCTGATCCATTCTGTGTGTGGCATTGGGTTAGATCACCTGAACTTACAGAACAATCTGCCCTTAATCAAGTTCATTTTCTCATAATAAAGCAGGAAGAGACTGAGCCACCTAAACTTATAGAACAATTCAGACCTCCTCGTTCAGAAAACAAATAAACAGAAGAAAACCCAGAATAAGCAAGGCGGCCAAGGCACCTGAATTTACAACATGCACTTGGTCCCTGAAAAGTCATCCACAATCAGCCCTCACCAGCCAGAGCAGTCAGGCCACCTAAACTTATACGACAACCTGACCCTCCATGCAAACCATAGCGCTGGGTCTCACCAAACTTATGGGGACATCCCAGCCTCCAAAGCAATCAGACCCCCTAAACTTATAGAAGGGTTTGATGCTCCATGCAGACCGAAATAAACAAAGCATTGAGTCTCCCCGAACTTATGGGGACCTCCCAGCCTTAACGACCCAGTCAACCTTCAAGCAAAACAACCCTCCATCCTGCCTTTCCCAGATGCAGTTCTTTTCAGCAATCTGAATTCACACAATCCACAAAGTTGAAACTGAAACTTGACAAACATTCCTTTACTTAGTCTGGCTCAGTCTCCTGAAAGTCAAACCAAAAATAGAATAGGGTTGCACATCATATATTGAACCAGAGCTGCATTGGGTGATACAGATAGGGGTTATAGTCTGGGTTTATAGAGGGGGAAGCAAAGGTTACCTGTCAGTTCCCTGGCTCCAGAACTCCTCCTGAGTTCCGGCAGAGCTCCCGCAATCGGTGGGGCCACCTCCCACAGAGGCCTTGGCGCGGATTACGGGTTGCAATCTCGCCTGCCGCCTTCCCCTCAGAACCAATAGACCAGGCTTAGATTTAGAAGGGCAGAAGGAGAGAAGTTCAGGCGCTCAGATCCAAGAAGGGTGCACTCAGACTTGCGTAAGAGGGCCTTCAAATCTTCGGCGCCTGCGGGCCCCGCAATGGCAGCCAGAAGTATCAGCTTGGTCAATTTTGTCGTCGAATCGTCAAAGTCCACTCTCTGCCGACTTCTCAAATTGCTGCACCAACTCCCCTTCCCAATGCTCAGCCACTCCTCTAGGCCCAGTCGCCGCCGTGGCACCGTTGACTGCACCAGTCAGTGATAACCGCTGCGGTATGCAATAGTACGCAGTGGTCAACAATAAGTGCCAGCAGCATGCGGCCCCCACCGGTTGGCCACGGTCTGGGAACAATCAGGGGTCGCAGCTGCGCAAGTCTACAACGACCGTCCGTATGCGGTCCGCAGCGACATCAGGTAGAGCACTACGCAACCCGTAGCAGTCCTGCCTTCCTTCAGCCACTCACCGAAAAGCTCAGTCTACAGTCTCCTATGCGGACGAAACCATCAGCGAGCAGTCCATGCACAGTCGACACTACCCCCGAGGCACAGCGTTATAGTGCCTGTAGTCCACAACTTACACCCCCCCTCTGCTGGTCTCGACTCCCCCATTCAGCTGACTGGCAAGACAAAGATCAATGCAGCCTGGGCTCGGCTGTGGGACATAGGTTTGACTCGCACCTAACAAGCAAGCTCGCTCAGTCGATGACCGTCACGGCCAGCAGGTATCATGGGGCAAGTGCTCTTAACTCCATAGCTGGCTCCCCCACCATTCCCTTGATTAATAGAGCTTGCGGAAGTGGAACGAATCTCTGCTAGTACGTGACCGCCCGCTGCGTGAGGTAAGTACCAAGTCGATAGGATGGGCAACATCGAGTGGATGTTCTATCAAAGTACGCTAAATGCGCGGCTTTCCACAGGAACTCCTGCCCCTCTCACAAATCCGCTCTTTCCATCCCGCTAGCCTGTGGGCACAACGGTTCGGCTTTCGGTTTACCCCACATCATCAGTTCTGCCTCCGTAGGCCTGTCCCAATCCGTATGGCGCGAGTATGCCACGCAACCCCACTCAGCTGCTGCATCCGCACTGCTGCTCCTTCCTTATCGATATACGCCAATCGGTCTTTATCTAGTGCTACTCGTCAGCTGCCTGCCTGCTGTCTGCGCCCAATGTCGAGGGAGAGCACTCTGGACTTGACGCAAAAGGGGGATACGACGAGTACTTAGCAGGCAGCGAGGGGAACGAGCTCCATCGCAGCAACAGGTGAGTCTATCCCCGCGGCTTGGCCCCTCCCGTATGATCAGCTCGTTCACCCAAATTATCCAAGTAAGTTTCTCCTCCCCTTTACCCTTTCTTTTCCTTTTCCTCTCGCATCCACCTCGACTACTCCCGCTCGTCACCCGACCTGCCAGTCATGCAGACAAAGAGAATTACGAAAGGGGAATGAATCTCCCGCTAAGATGTGGGTAGGTTCATTCACTCTGATTCAGAAACTCCCCCCCCCTCCCCCCCCCTGTAGTCAACCCGCAGCACTAACTCCTATTAACTCGCTATCTAGCCAAACTAACATGACCAATGGATTCGCCTCCTCAAAGAACCTTGACCCTGATCTTTATCCCGCCCGATTCCATAAAGAGTCGGGCACGATATCATGCTTCCCTCCGGCCATATCCGCACTCCGCCATCGCTCAACGCCTTCTTTCTTCTACTAACCTCCTAATTTGTTGACGCTCTTCTATAGCTAACCCCTCCATGTGGTTCGCCCAGGGCAAAAACCCCGAGATCGCCCCATCCCTTGCTCAAACCCGTGCTGAAGCAAGCAGGGAAGCCGTTCTACCCTTCTCCCATAGCCCGACTTCCACGTCTCTATCTCCGAGCGCACCCGGTCGCGGTTCCGGTTCAGATTCATTCACCCACTTCGCTTCCCATCTCCCTCTGCACTCCGCTCCGTTCTGTGGCCTTCGCCCCCATAGTTCAGTCACGCTATTGTTCCTCCCGTTGCTGCCTACCACTGCCCGGTCTCCCTCACTCCCTCATCTTCGGACTGTGCACGACCGAACTCCTGGCTGGACTCATTCCGCCTTATGACGGCGAGCAGGTAGGCTCTTCTCCCCTCCCGATATTCTCCCCCTTCACTCCGCACGTACCCCGGCGCAACTCTGACTCCGATTCACTCCCTGTGCCCGTCTACCTCTTCACTGCCTCGCTGTTTCCGAGTGCACCTAGCGCCGCCTACGTCCAGATCCCTCCTCGGCCTTCCGCTTTGTTTTACCTATCCGCCTAACCCCCGCGTGCCTGGCACTCCTCGCCAAAACAGATGTTGAAATAAAACAGGATCTCCTCCTCCTGCAGGATCAAAAAAAGTGGTATTAAAATTTCTATCAGTTAATAGCATAGTAATAGCAC